TTGAGCAAGTTAAGCAAGGATCGAGTTCATAGTATATTGTGGATCATGATGGTATTTTGTGTTTTCACGGTCGTTATTGCGTTCCTAAAGATGATTAGTTGAGACAGATTATTCTTCAGGAGGCTCATAGTAGTCCTTATGCTATGCATCCTGGCGGTGACAAAATGTACAATAATCTCAAAGAGTGCTACTTCTGGACTGGTATGAAAAAGAATATTTCAGATTTTGTGGCGAGGTGTTTGACTTGTCAGCAGGTTAAGGCAAAACACCAGCATCCATCCGGATTGTTACAGTCAATTAAGATTCCTGAGTGGAAATGAGAGCGCATTACGATGGATTTCGTTACTGGTCTTCCTCTGACTCCTTTAAAAAAGGATTCTATTTGGGTGATTGTTGATCAACTCACCAAGTCAGCGCACTTTATCCCTATCTGGATTAATTATTCTCTGGACAAACTGGCTAAGTTGTACATTTTGGAGATTGTTAAACTTCATGGTGTACCGTTGTCTATCATTTCTGATCGAGATCCAAGGTTCACTTCCATGTTCTGGAAGGCTTTGCACGAGGCTCTGGGTACTCGTTTGAATTTCAGCATAGCTTTTCATCCTCAGACTGATGGACAGTCTGAGCAAGTTATCCAAGTGTTGGAGGATATGTTACGGGGTTGTGTGATTGATTTCCGTGGTAGTTGGGAAGATTTCTTGCCGTTAGCCGAGTTTGCTTATAATAATATTTATCAGGCGAGTATTCGCATGGCACCGTACGAGGCTCTGTATGGACGTAGATGTCGTACTCCTATATGCTGGACAGAGTTGCATGATAGAAAAACTTTGGGTCCAGACTTGGTTCGAGAGACTGAAGATATGGTCAGATTGATCCGTGATAGCTTAAAAGAGGCATTTGATAGGCAGAAATCATACGTAGATAAGCGATGTAAGGATATCGAGTTTAAGGTTAGAGATCAGGTTTTTCTCAAGATATCCCCATGGAAGAAGGTATCGAGATTTGGACGTAAGGGTAAACTGAGTCCGCGATTTATTGGACCGTATCATATTTTGAAGAAAGTTGGACCTGTTGCTTATCAGCTTGAGTTACCTCCCCAGCTCAATCGTATTCATGATGTTTTTCATGTGTCTATGTTGAGGCGATATCGTCCATATCCGGATCACATCATTCAGGTTGACGAGGTAGAACTAAGACCTGATTTGTCATATGAGGAGGAGCCTGTTCAGGTTTTAGAGAGGGATGAGCGAGTTCTTCGGAATAGACGTATTCCAATGGTCAAAGTTCAGTGGAGTAATCGTAGCCCCTCAGAAGCTACTTGGGAGACATTGGAGTCATTGGAGGCTCAATTTCCTCATCTATTTTCATAAGGTAAATTTCGAGGATGAAATTTCTTGTAGAGGGGGAGAATTGTAACAACCCGGAATGTTGAAAAAAAAATATTTAATTGAAATTTGAGGATTTAATTGTGTAATTGATAAATATTTGGGGACTAAAATGAAAATTTTCAAAACTTGTAGGTTGTTGTAGAGTTTAAGGAAATTCAAGGACTAAGCCCTGAATTTACCCAAAAAGTGTCAACAGACACTCTATTAAATATTTTGAATCAGATTTACGGGGGGAATTCATAAGCATAATTTGCTAAATTCCTCCCCCACCAACCTCTCATTCCAAACTCGATTTTGGTGTCGTCCGAATTTCGATCGTCGTTTTGAAACCACCATCGTGTTCATCATCGAGCGAGGAACAAACTCCTTAAATTAATTGAAGTGAAACACTGCCAAACGCCGTGAATTTCAAGTCAAAGGCTCGACGTTTTTTTTAGCACCATCGCCGAGAAAATCTTAAATTCGCCACCGATCGTTGCTCCGTTTTCGACACCTCCCGTACCATCGTGTTCATTGTGCCGTTTCGAGTCTGCCAGTGTCATCCTTGGTCTCCGTTGACGGCGGCAAGTAAGGAGGTGAAGCGGTCAAAGTTTCTGATTTGTTGAAATCGACCTCTCTGCCGTTCAAAATTTTGAACCGAGATTTGTAAGTATCTCGAAATCGCTCAAAATAATTTTTAGGATTTTTTTCATGAATTTTCCGACGTCGGAATGTGTCCCACGCGCCGCCACTGCGCGTGGGGAATGTTCTGCTAGGCTAGAATTGTTTAAAAAACCGGTTTTTGACCGGGTTGACCGGTCCGAACTGGTCCGACCCGTTGGTCATTGACCGTTGACCACCTTTGACCAGAACTTTGACCGGTCATTAAAAGACCTTTAATCTTTTCCGAGTATACTTATCTTAACATTTTTCGACGTTTTGAATCCGTTTTTAGGGTTCATTTCACCAAATTTGAACTCGAAAGTCTCCAAATTGTCAATCAAACCCGTTGAATTTGATTTTGACCAAGAATTCAAAATTTTGGAAGGTCATACTTTATATTTTTCGACGTCCTGAATATGATTCTGAAGTCCGTTTTGCCAAATTCTGACATGAAATCCCCGAATCGAGCATGTGAACCCAAAAGGTTTAGTATTTTAATATTTTGATTATTTATTTGAGTTTTGGTTAAGGAATTGATTCAATAAAATATTTTATGAAGGTACTCGTGTTTCACCTGAGCGTGGAACAGTTAGGTCTGGAGTTGTTCTTTCGTCTTATCAGCCTGAATCGTGTACTACAATAATTACCCGTAGGTTTCCGTATATTATTTAAATAAAGATTATTTATATTAGGATTCCAATATGGATTTTTCCAATTCGTAGGATCTAGCGCTGCAACAGAGCGTGATCGACATATCTGATTTCTCAAACTGTTACAGGTGTGTTTCATGACAGTATTATTTTACTATTTCAAAAATATTATTTGAATTGTTTTAGATTGGTGATAATTCATAATACTGTTATGACATGATACTTGATTTTTGAATATTGATTACCTGATATCTGATTTCTGTATTTCGGTATATGATTTTTTTAAGCATGAATTATTCACCAATTTCACTTGAATACATACTTGTTTATTACTGACATTGGGGGGAATATTGTTGGAGGAAGAATACTTGCAGGCTCCTCGGCTTTGTGCTCAGGGCCTTACTGGACGTGACGGGGTGTATGGTTCTGAGGAACCTACACATTTTGTTCGTGACAAATGGGGGTAGTGTTCATATTTTAAATAAAAAAACATGTTTAATGAAATGATTTTTACTGGAATATTTTATTAGTATGTTTTTATACACTGTTTGAAGTACATTGAGCTTTTTAGTTCTATAGTTTTACCCTTTTTCAGATAACAGCAGACAGTAAGCAGCAGATTTGGCATCAGGAAAGATCAACTACTTTATTTTGTACGAACGTATATCTCTATATATTTTTCAGTAGTGTTTGGTGACATGTATTTTGCTTTCGTTTTGGATATATTTGTATTATCGATATTTTGTTTAGTATTATCTGTAATGTTTTATAAGTTGTTTAAAAAAATCTCTAAATGGGATATGTAACCACTTAGGTTTGAGTCTAACTTACAGACCGGATACAGGAGGTTACATTGAATATTTTCCAGATTATTTATTGTTTAATATTTTTTTAATGCTCTGTTTCGCTATTATTTAAATAATAAATTATATTAAATATCATCAAATTTAAAATGTTATATCGTTTATACTATTAAGTTTTAAATTTATCAATTATAATTTTTACTCCATATTATTAGGCCATTTCAATTATAACTATTTATTTTGAATATAAATTTATTAAATATTGTTATTTTATAGTAATTTAATGTTTAAATTGCGTTATACACATTTAAACAGTGTTTTAATATTTAATTTATATTTTGTTTATAATATATTTAATATTATTTTTTAAATACATTTTTAAATTTTTTTAGCACAATGTAAATTGATTGAGATAATATAAATTTGATTCAAGTTTGATATTTATTTTTTGTATAAGAGTTTGGCTTATAAGCTTATTACAATGAAGGTGTCATACAATATAAAAGGTACTCGAATTTGGCTCGAAAAGAATATGTTGAAACTTAAAATTATTTTTTGCAAATTTTGATAATCTACTATTGAATTTGAACTAGAAACATTTTTTTAAATAATTTAAATAATTATTTTAATCATAAAAATAAATTAAAATCTTATAATATACTATGATAAAATATAATATAATATATTTATATATGTAAATATTTTTTTAGGTATTTTTTAACATATTGATTATATTAAATATATATTTTTGCAAAATTTAAATAGTGTAATGAAAAATAATTCTATAAACTTACATACAAATATTTTAACTTAATATTAAGAGTTTAACTTATTAAAACAAAGTATCACAAAAATCAATTTGATAAAACTTGTTTCAAATGATTTTTTTTTATAGTACACGAATGTTCATTCGATTATAGGATGTTGCTTTATTAAGTCTTTTAAAAGTTATGAAATGATCTCAGTTATAAGTTGCTTTGTTGAGTCCCTTAACTATTAAAAGTTATAAATTAGTCATCCGACTATTCATTATGCTTCAAATTCATCATTTTCACTTAAAAATTTGATTGCCGACTAAACTAGACGTTAATCTACTGAATGATATATGATAAAATATGATATTTGAATCTCAAACGACTATCATATCTTAGTCAACATCTTAACGTCTAACTCAGATAATCATAAATTTTTGTATCGAAAAATGATGATTTTGGAACATAAGAAATAATTATGTAACTATTTTGTAACTTTTAATAGCTAATGGACTCAACAAAATAACATCTTATAATCAGAAAACTATTATATAACTTTTAATTGTAGAGAGATTCAACATAAAACCATTTTTATATTTGACAAATTTTTTAAAATTTTGTACAGGAATTGAACACGGGACTAGTGGATATAGCGTCAATTCTTAACCATTTGAAATCTTTTAAGTTATTTATTCATTGAACCCATCTGAACTGGATTTTGAGGTTGGGTTGGATTAGCCATTGGGCTAAAATTCTCATCCCTTTTTAGCTCCGTCGGCTCCAAGCCACCCCCTTACAACCGCCATCGAAGAACCCGACTTGTTTAATCCTCTCAACTCCGACCATAATCAGCGGGGCACTTTGTATTTTCCCCGGGAGAATTTCATCTGATTTAAAACTAAAGAAAGATGGGGAAGAATGAGAAGTCAGGGTTAGGGAGAGCCCTGGTGAAGCATCACAATTCAATGATACAACAAACCAAAGAGAAGGGGAGGTTTTATAAGAGCCGGAACAAGAAGGTATTGGAATCTGTAACCGAAGTTAGCAACATCGATGCCGTCATCGAGCAGGCCGAGGAAGCTGACCAGCTCTTCTCTATCCACCACCCCACCCCTAACCTCCTCATCAATTTGTAAGCTCTTACCTAAGCCTTTTTTGTTCATATCAAATTGGTCTGATGTGTAGGTGTAAATCATTGAACTTGTTTTGTTTGATTTGGTGAAAGTCTGGGTTTTTATGTAAATTTTTGTTCTTTCTGAATTAATTAGTTGGCTGTGTTTTGGGGTTTTGTTGATTTTTTGTTTTGTTTTGTTATGGTCTTAAGGTCTGGATTTTGATTGTAACAACATATTGAGTGAGTTTCATGGTGTTTTTTTTTGTTACCCTTTTCTCATTTCTATGTTTTGTTTTTGTTGGTTATGGTCTTAAGGTTTGGATTTTGATTTTAATAACATATTGAGAATTGAGATTCATGGTTAATTGTATTCCTGTTGCAAGGATTTTCAGAGACTCGGATTGGACTTAATTAGTTGTTCAAAAGCCTATATTTTATAGGCTAGTATAACTTTTGCACTAAGATCACTAGAAAAGTGTCCATTCGAATTAATAATCATGTTACTTTGTCTATTGAGGGTTCTCTTTCGTCCTATTAGTTCCTTCATCCCACCTTTCTTTTTTATCTTGAAAAAAAAATAAATGAATAAAGGATTAAATTTAATGTATTGGCATAAGGAGATTGTTGCAGGTAAGTATCTATATCATGTTTAAGTTGAATGTGTTGTTCTTTTGAGAGCTTTTTGTTTATAATGGGTGATTCCTGAATCCTGATCCTTCTTCTTTAAGCTTTACAAACCTATTGCTTTTGGTACACGTGCTCAGTGGTTTATCTGACATCCTTTTTTTTCACTAGGGATGCCAGCTCAAGCATCAGTGATATGACACCCGAAGAAAGAAGAGAACAGCAGAAGAAAGAGGAGGCACTGCACGCGAACAGTCTCCGAGTTCCACGAAGGCCACCATGGAATGCAGCAATGTCTGTTGAAGAGCTAGATGCAAACGAGAAACAAGCTTTCCTAGTTTGGCGCCGCAGCTTAGCAAGGTGAGGTGATGAGTAATATGAACATAACCTTCTCTCCCATCATTTAACAAGGGAGCAATGATAATACTGTCAGAAGTAAATATTTAATTGAACTAGGACAACTTGATTAATATTGTCATGGAGATATCCTAGGATAGGTCCAAATTCAGTGTTCGACCAGGTCAGACAAAGTGAATAATAAATATACTAGCCAATAGCAAGCCAAGATGAAACATTTTTTTTCATCTCTATGCAATTTGGTATTGTACATTTAAAATTAGTGTTCCAATGATGGTTATTTTTCAACAATAGCTTAATGGTCCTTGCCCCACTACTTTTCTGTAGATGATAGTGATTGACTCATGTCTGAAGAGAAGTGTAGCTTGGGTAAGCTTGCTCGCATATGCGAACATTTTTAGTATAGGATAGACTCATCATGTTTTATGCTTATATTTGCATATATAAGCATATAGAGAGTTGTATTAATTGTGTTTTCGTGTCCTTGTATTTGTTGTAGACTTGAGGAGAATGAGAAGCTTGTTCTCACACCATTTGAGAAGAACTTGGATATCTGGAGGCAGCTTTGGCGGGTTCTTGAACGCAGTGATCTGGTAAGATTTTTGTCTCTCGTAATGTAGAATTGTACATGTTATTACATGTATGATGAAAAGTTGTAGGATCTATGTTGCTCAGACTCTTCATTTTTCTTTGGAGTACTTGTGGTCTACCACTCGTGTTCAACACACGGATATTATGACCTCTGAGGATCCTCCAAATACATGGAAAACTTTAGAAATGTCTAATGGAAACCCATTCTGGTTACATTCCTATATCCAACTCTGACACTTGAGTCCAAGTAAACCTAGTAGGATGGCTTTCTTAAAGCAGTGTTTTCTTAGGTATGCACCGGGGCAGAGGTGCTAGATGCAAAAAACTAAGAAAGGCCTTACCTGATGAAGCAAAGCACTGATTTATAAAATAAGAAGCACTATCAGTCAATCATCACGTCCTAGTTCTTATATCCAACTAGAAATCACCCTGGAAAACCATTATTTTCTTATCTCAAAATCATAAAATGAAAAGATCGGAAAATTAAGAAGCAATTGATACTCGAGCCAAGGACCCTCGGAAAAAAATGTCTGCATTGGCATTAGGTATATGTCCTTCAAAAAAGGGAATGGGGTGAGAGGTGAAAGGAAGAAAGAGAGGGAGAGGGAAAGGTTAGCATGGAGCGAGCCCCCCTGGAATTACTATTTAAACTTATTTGAAAATGATGTGAAATCCCATCTTTTTTCCCTAAGTTGCTCATGTCTCCGAGTCTCTCTTCCATACTTGCGACTTTTCAAGATATGATATATCTCTTACTGACATACTGACTTCATTATATTCTATCAGCTTGTGATGGTTGTTGATGCAAGGGACCCTCTTTTTTACCGCTGTCCTGATCTTGAGGTAATATACTTTTTTTCTTGAGCAGAATATGTATTCTAAAGCTGCTTGAGGTAGGCGGAGCTTTTGCAAATTTGAGGTCTGGTGATAAATTAATGAACAATCTAATATAAATTTATTTATTTGTTAAAGAGTAGGTGGAGAGAATTTATTAATATGGTACGGCGTCTTGATGCTAGAATGACAACTCTCTTGAAATTTTGAATGATAAAAGAAATTAAGAGTTGGTATCTAATTCAATTTAACTAAACTTGGAAAGTAGATGTGAAAAGTTTTCATTTATCCAAAAAAAATGTAGAATGTTGATCATGTTGTATTCCCTTTTTGTACTTTTCCTTCTTTTTATTTATGGATTTTTCTACCACTTGGATGATGATTACAATGGGTTTCTGACAAATTTGTTTCTATGAAGGAATATGCTAAGGAGATCGACAAGCATAAGAGAACATTGCTTCTTATAAACAAGGCAGATCTTCTGTCAGTTTCTGTTAGGTTAGTTTCAACTCTTCCATTTTCTCATCTGTTATGGTTCGATTCCAATTTTTCCACCGCTGATGGTGCTTATTGCTTCTGTTCTATCTATGTAGGGAAAAATGGGCAAAATATTTTCACTCTCATAAGATTCTCTTTGTATTCTGGTCTGCTAAAGCTGCTACTGCTGAATTAGAAGGAAAACTGCTTACCGACCAATGGAAAACGCAAAATAGCCTGCAAAAGTGCAATGATCCTGAAACAAAAATATATGGGAGAGATGAACTCTTGGCTCGTTTGCAGTCCGAGGCAGAAGAAATAGTCAGGATGAAGAAATCAGGCTCTAGTACCTCGAGGTCTTCTGATATTCAATCTCCTAGAGGCAGTACTGAAGGAACTTCAGCACGAAAAAGTGTGATGGTGGGATTTGTGGGGTATCCTAATGTTGGAAAAAGTTCAACTATAAATGCTTTGGTTGGCCAGAAACGTACAGGCGTCACCTCAACTCCGGGGAAGACGAAACATTTCCAGACATTAATAATTTCTGATGAGCTGACTCTATGTGATTGTCCTGGATTGGTCTTTCCATCCTTCTCAAGCTCGAGATATGAGATGATTGCTTCAGGGGTGCTGCCAATTGACCGGATGACGGAGCACAGGGAGGCTGTGCAAGTTGTTGCTAATAGGGTCAAAAGGCACATTATCGAGGATGTATACAAGATTAAGTTACCAAAACCCAAACCATACGAATCGCAGTCTCGGCCGCCTCTGGCCTCGGAGTTTTTGAGAGCTTACTGTGCTTCACGTGGGTATGTTGCCTCTAGTGGATTACCTGATGAAACTAGGGCAGCCCGCCAAATTTTAAAGGATTACATTGATGGAAAGCTGCCTCACTATGAAATACCACCTGGTATGTCTGATGAAGATGGAAGGGAAGATGATGGGAAGCCGAGCTTGACTGAAGTTCACGATTCAGATCCATCTGACGTTGAAGAATCGTTGGAAAATGGAATTGAAACTACACCTGTGTCGGAGCATGTACTAGATGATCTTAGCTCGTTTGATTTGGCTAATGGACTCGCTTCGAAGAAGGTGACGGTTAAGAAATCAAATGCATCCCATAAGCACCACAAAAATCCCCAGCGGAAGAAGGATCGGTCATGGAGAGTTGGGAATGATAATGACGATGGAATGCCGGTAGTCCGAGTATTTCAGAAGCCGGTGAATTCGGGTCCCGTTAATGGTCAATGAAGCATCATTTGATGAACTACTGGGATATATCAGGGACTTTTCTTGCTTAACTGTATGCTTCCTATTAAAAGAATCCGAGTACATTTGTAGGTTTTCAATTCATTTTTATCAGATCAAAAGGAAAATATTTTAAATTTATATACTTTTTAGAATGTTAAGTGCATATTAATTAAAATTCTGTTTTGCAAAAAGACTAGCAATTAGGGGTGTTCATTGTTCGGTTAAAGCCGAATTAACCAATCAAATCAAAATTTTGGTCGGTTAATTTTGGGTTTGATTGTTCGACGGTTAACGGTTTTTTTCAAATTTCGGTTTCGGTTAATTAACCGAAATTATTAAGTATTTAATATTATATATATATATTATTTAGCTTTAGGGGTATTTAAATTTGGTTTAAACCGAATAAACTAAAAAAATTAAAAAATTAATATATAATATATAATATATACTATTTATATATATTTTATAAATTTCAGTTAATTCGGCTAAACAAACCAAACTTAATTTACTTTGGTTAAATTTTTTTTAAAAGAATTTCGATTCGGTTAACGGTTAATAAGAAAAAATTATATTAATAAATTTTAAGTAATTTTATTCGATCATTTAACCAAATTATCCGTTTGTAGACGCCTACCAGCAATGATATGTATATATGTACTTATCCCAACAAGTATTATCTGGCACATGCCTTTGTCACGTGGTACTGTCTACTTGAATTTAGATCCATTTCACCTGGACACTGTTAATTTTCATATTAATACCTAAAAATGAAAAAGAAAAATTATAATAATTTATTTTTAATAGTTTAAAATGTTTAGAAAGTAATATTTATTCATGATTTTTCTTAGTCTTAACAATACTCTCTTTACTTAATGAGTGATATTTTTATTTTAAATTTTCATTAATTATTTTATTTTATTTGAAATTCATGGCATGTAATACAATATTAGTTCACTACTTCCTTGGTAATGAACCTTAATCGCGTATAATATGAAGGACGCCAAACGCTGCAGACTTCAATTGTTCAATCAAAATACTTAAAAAGTGATTATTGAACAGCTGGTTTTAAGTCAATAATTTACATTTAATAGTTTTATCATGTTATACAATTGAACTATTATTATTTTATAGATAAAATTATGGGTAAATTCCACCATAAATCATTCTAATATTTTTAAATTTACAATTTTGTCATCCTAGTTCAAAAAGTCACAATCAAACCATTCGATTAAGAGAAAATAACCTCAGTGACAAAAAATGCCTTATAATATATAATTTTAACAAACTTTTTTTGGATTTGCCAAAATGACCAACTAAATCGCAATGCGATCGATAATTCGCAACGCGATCTCCGGTATCGCAAATCAGTTTCCAGATTCGCAAGGCGATTCTGACTATCGCATTGCGATTTCCCAAATTCGCGTTGCGATTTTCCTAATTCGCAATGCGAGCCTAATTCGCAATGCGATTACGTAAATCGCAATGCGATATCGCAATGCGAATTAGGAAAATCGCAATGCGAATTAGGAAAATCGCAATGCGAATACGTAAATCGCAATGCGATTACGTATTCGCATTGCGATTTTCCTAATTCGCATTGCGATTTTCTTAATTCGCATTGCGATTTACGTATTTGCGTTGCGATTTACGTATTTGCGTTGCGATTTACGTATTTGCGTTGCGATTTTCATAATTCGCAATGCGAATACGTAAATCGCAACGCGATTAAGTAAATCGCAATGCGAATTAGGAAAATCGCAATGCGAATTAGGAAAATCGCAATGCGAATACGTAAATCGCAATGCGAATCTGACTATCGCAATGCGATTTACATAGCGCCATTCGTATTAACGCGTATTTTTTTTTTCAAATTCCAAACATGAATTTTTTCTTAATATATCGGAAACTGAACCGTCCACAGTAATCGCAACTCATAACCTCAAACCTAAAATCACAACACTCAGTCCCATCTCCATCTCTCACTCTCTACGACGAAATCCGTCCCCATCTCCGAAGATTTCCGTCCCCATCGCCGGCGAAATCCCTCACAACCATTCACGGTCAGAAATCCCTCACAATAATTCAGAAATGGAAAATCAACCTCCAAGGGTTAGTTTTTTTAATTATTTTTATTTTGAAAATTTTGCATTATTTTAGGTTTTTCATATTGAAATTGATGATAAGTTTACTGGTAATTTCAATAATAGATTAACCATTTCACTTAGATTTCTTATTAAATTCATTCGATTACTGCCAATACTGCTAAACTGTTTAGTATTTAACACTGTGAAGTTAATATTTGTCTTTGTTTTATCTTTTGGTTGAAGTAATGCAGAAGAAGAATAGTTTTGAGAATGAAAATCGCAACGCGGAAATGACTATCGCGACGAGAGAATCGCAACGCGAAATGAAAATCGCAACGCGAAACCAAAATCGCATTGCGATTTTCATTTCGCGTTGCGATTTTCATTCTCTCGTTACGATTTTCATTTCAACCAAAAGACAAAACAATGTTGCAAATTTTAGTTTCAAGAATAAACTACTATTTATGTTTATTGTTTTTGGTATATCTTCACAGTGTAGTTTTTGGTATATCTAACTTGGTATGTTTATTGTTTTTGTAGAAATTTTTTTCGGCTTCATTGACATTAAGGAATAAAGTTAGCCTAGCCACTACAATTGCTTCGAAGCTTTCACCTGCACAAAGAAAATTGTTTGAGGAAACCTGCTTCGGGCCATGGCTGAGAGTACAACATCCGGGTGGAGATGCTAATTTGACCCATTTGTGGCTTCAAACCATGACTAGCGATCTACCCGACAGTATACAACATGGTGAGGAAGAGATATGGTTTCATTTTCCACTAGCGTATACTTGTTTTGGGCGGAAGGAGTTCTGCTTAATCACTGGTCTACGATTCAGACACGATGATGTAGGCCGGTACACTCGTCATATCACCTGCCCATCATGGTTATCCAGGGTTTTTCCTGATGAGTCAATAGAGAAGCCGAACTTACACGTCGACGACCTGAAGAAATTGTTTAATAAGAAAGATGGTTTTACTCGGATGAATGACGTCGATGTTGTCTGAGTATACCTTCTACTACTTTTGTATGCCGGCTTTTTAGGAAGAGAGGCCAGACAACCTATTCCTCAGGAGCTAATATTATTGGTAGAGAACCTAAATGCATGGAATCTGTTTCCGTGGGGTTCGTATATATGGAAAGCTACCTGGACTAAGTTGTCGTCTGCCTTTGATGACCGCAAAAGTTTGCGGGGCGATGGGTCGAAATACACTTTGTCAGGCTTTGTTTGGGCCTATAAGGTAAGAATTTCTATATAATGTTTTCAAAATTATAATTAATTATTTAACAATTACTAATGTTTGTTATTATATTGTTCGTAGATTTGGATATTCGTGGCTTTCCCCAGCATGTGGACATATGCATTAAAAACCTCAAATGATATTCCTATGGCTATTTCCTGGAAGAGGAAACGTCTGTTGGATTGGGAAGACTTAATACCATATGCGACAATAAATAATGTAAGTTAACACAAATACTATCATATATAAACAAGTTATTAATAGTAGACGTTTAACTTTGTTTGAGTTTTTATATTTTTAGGAGGCCAACACTCCATTAATGAGACTGACATCCACGGAGGCTGAGCTTGCCACTGATTGGTGGCAAGCTAGTCAGCGTTTTCTTGATGGCACGAATGATGAGAAGCCTCCACTTCCTCCACTTCGAGAGCCATCACCTCACCCAGAGCCATCACCTGATCGACCCGACTATACACCTCTACAACGAGAGCCATCACCTATCCCGTCACATCATCGAGCCTCTTCTCCACCATCACCTCATGATAGGCGACCGAAAAAGATGCCACGACTTCTATCTCCCTGTTCTCCACCTCCACAAGATGAGTCAAGGGAGTTACGTGATGAGGTCAATGCCTTGCATGAGGAGATCGGTACTCTACGCGATAACGATGGTGCATGGCGTGTGGAGGTGTCTACTTTACGTGGCGAGGTTGCCGCTCTACGTGAGATGATAGTATCGTTGCAGAATGAGGTTCATACTCTACGCAACGAGGTAAGTTTAAGATTTTCCATATTTAACTTGATGATAAATTTACTCGTAATTTCACTTAGATTAACAATTTCACTTAGATTGCTTAGTAAATTTATTCGGTTGTTGCCAATACTGCCAAACTGTTTATTAACACTGTGAAGTTAGTATTTGTCTTTTGTTTTGTCTTTTGGTTGAAGTAAATTTATTCGGTTGCTGCCAATTATGCTAAACTGTGTATTCTTTAACACTGTGAAGTTAGTATTTATCTTTGTTTTGTCTTTTGGTTGAAAGTAAATTTGTTCGGTTGCTACCAATTCTGCTAAACTGTGTATTCTTTAACACTGTGAAGTTAGTATTTGTCTTTGTTTTGTCTTTTGGTTGAAAGTAAATTTGTTCGTTTGCTGCCAATTCTGCTAAACTGTGTATTCTTTAATACTCTGAAGTTAGTATTTGTCTTTGTTTTGTCTTTTGGTTGAAGTAATGCAATCCATTCAAGTTTCAATTTGCAGAAGAAGAAGAAATAGTTTATTCTTGAAACTAATTTAGTAACACTGTTTTGTCTTTTGGTTGAAATGAAAATCGCAACGAGAGAATGAAAATCGCAACGCGAAATGAAAATCGCAACGACAAAATCGCAACGCGAAACTATAATCGCGTTGTGATTTTTGGTTTCGCGTTGCGATTCTCTCGTTGCGATTTTCATTTTGCGTTGCGATAGTCATTTTTCACGTTGCGATTTTAAGTTCCAGAAACTATTCTTCTTCTGCAAATTGAAACTTGAATGAATTGCATTATTTCAACCAATAGACAAAGACAAATACTAAGTTGACAGTGTTGCAAGTTTGAAACATATTTGCCTTTGTTATCTGATGCATTTTGTGAACTATGATAGAATAATGACTTGGGTGAATTCAATGCAAGTTTGAAACATATTTGTCTTTGTTTTCACTGTTTAAATATCATGTATTTTTATTTAATGATATTTGTATTTAATTATTTAGCGGCCCGATAAGGTGGATGCTTTACGTCGGGTTTTTCTTGCACGACAGAGTTCACGCATCAGA